ACAATTGCAATTCCATCCTAATTCTTCCGGTTTACAATAACCTCATTTGTTCAGTATTAATTATATTTGCTAATATCATCCTTTTGAGTTGATACCATTTCCAGCAGATGACAATGGAGCAGTGATGATGAACAGAAATGAAAAATCAACATTAAGAGAGCTAAAAAAACTCGGTGTTTCTTATAAACGTACCTGAAAACACATCCAACAAGGTCCTCCCTACCTATCACATTTCATGTCTTGTAGTCCCCTAAACCAATCTACATTTCCAATCCCCATTTCTTGTAATTCTAACCTATGTATTGTCTGTGGACGTTCCTTGTCTGCAATGCTCCTAATTCAAATATAGAATAACTATCCCCATTCCCAATCCCCCTTTGAAATGCCTTTAGAACAAAAAATATCATCCTGTGGCCAGTGCAAGGTACAAAAATGGAAGTCTTTAGATGAGGAATACGCACATATACATGATTTCATCTACATAAGTGCCAATGAATAACCACCCACCAATGCCAAATGCAAGATCTTTTTCCTAAAATTCTCGTTTGGTCCATTTATAGGACGATTCAGGTGAGATCCAATGTATATCCAACTTTCTATTCACTCGTGGGTTCGGGCTAACTGTAACAACCCACAAATTCCACATACAGATAATCCACATGATATTACTCATAACACAGAATGTAATATTGTTTACAAAATACGGACTAACAAAAACTTTATTTAATACATTTATGAGTAACTAAATGTCATCAATTCTAAACTTTTCCCTTGCCTTTATCCTGCGAGGTATGATGACCTGCAAAACAGGTTAGTCCAACAACTGAGCGTTAGACCCAAAAGGTCTAGTGAGTGTACAAATCTCAAACAGATAACATACTTTCCAAACTAGCAGTTTCGAATCAAACCTGTACGGATATAAATATTTATCTATTTCTCTCGCGGTTACACCGCCATTTCATCTCTCTCGCGGTTACACCGCCATCTCATCTCTCTCGCGGTTACACCGCCGTTTCATCTCATATTGGTAACAAAAACTCTAACTCTTTAGCCGGATTTGAAGTCCGGCCAACCATCCGGAGATCTAATCCCGACATCACATGTGGCTTTGAGCGGTTTAGGTTTACATCGGATAACCTTTTAACCGGTTTAAGGAATAATACGGATGAAACTTGGCCGGTTTAGAAATTACATCGGCCGAGTCTTGAGCAATTTACAATGAACCCGAACGCTTCTTGTCCGGTTTAGATGAAATCCGGACAGCACTTGTCCGGTTTAGATCATAATCACACAGTATGAAACTTAATCATTGAAAACCTATTCCAATCACTATAGTATTGTATGCAAACATGTAATATTCAAAGCGTAATACACTCACCTTCGAAATCTGAGGTTGACCGTATTTCTGACTGATCTAATTCTCCAAAATCTGATTCCAAACTTCTTTTAAAAAGTGTGTGTCCAAAAACTTTTCCCATCTCTTTTCTTTTACTACTTATAGCAAGGGAAGAAACCAAGGGGGCGGCGCATACTGCCGACTCCCCTCTTCCCATCAAAACTTTAATACAATTAAAATGCACATACACACACACACACTCCTATATATATATGTGTATATATATATATATATATATTTTAGAATCTCAAACCAAAACTTGTAACCCGAATATTACACTAAACGATATGCCGAAGTTGTGGGTTGTAAAATACATTGTTTTCTTAATTGAAGAAATAATTGGAAAATAAAACCTCTGTCAGTACACCGCATTACCATGCAATAATAACAAGTACTTCTTCAACTACACATTCTTGTTTTTGTTTGCATGACTGTCCTCCTCAAGAAACCCACTGCACATAATATTAGTTTACCAAACTATGCTTCAATATGTGCTTGTGGTTCATATGCTTAAAATATGCCACAGTGAGATAGAAATGTTTCTGGTTAAATGATGTAGTCGTGACCTCTCTTAAAGATTACTTCAATATTCAAATTATGATTATACGGCCATATCAACTACCAAGAGGTAGGAAGTTTTATTCTCCGTAAAAAATGTCTACTAGCTTTTCAATTAATACAAGGAATGACCAACTTTCGTTTAAAGTATATAATATTTTTATATACTGCAAATAAACTTATAAGCCGTCCTCATCATTGGTGAGATTTGAACCCTTGATCTCCTAGGAGCCTGAGGTAACCCAGATACCGTAAGGCCAAAGGCCCTTTGATAGGATTGACTAACTTGTATAAATAGTTGTTGACATGCCTCAAATTACTAGTATGACCCTTGCGCTTGCCATCAGGNAAGCCAGAAATGTAACTATTTGATTTCTTCCATTAAACATTCTCAATTACAATTGCAATTCCATCCTAATTCTTCCGGTTTACAATAACCTCATTTGTTCAGTATTAATTATATTTGCTAATATCATCCTTTTGAGTTGATACTATTTCCAGCAGATGACAATGGAGCAGTGATGATGAACAGAAATGAAAAATCAACATTAAGAGAGCTAAAAGACTCGGCATTTCTTATAAACGTACCATAAAACACATCCAACAAGGTCCTCCCTGCCTATCACAGTTCATGTCTTGTAGTCCCCTAAACCAATCTACATTTCCAATCCCCATTTCTTGTAATTCTAACCTATGTATTGTCTGTGAATGTTCCTTGTCTGCAATGCTCCTAATTCAATATAGAATAACTATCACCATTCCCAATCCCCCTCTGAAACGCCTTTAGAACAGAAAATATCATCCAGTGGCCAGTGCAAGGTACAAAAATGGAACTCTTTAGATGAGGAATACCCACATATACATGATTTCATCTACATAAGTGCCAATGAATAACCACCACATAATGCTAAATGCAAGATCTTTTTCCTAAAATTCTCGTTTGGTCCATTTATAGGGCGATTCAGGTGAGATCCAATATATATCCAACTTTCTATTCACTCGTGGAAGCGAGCTAAGCGATCTGCCGAAGTTGTGGGTTGTAAAAATACATCGTTTTCTTAATTGAAGAAATAATTGGAAAATAAATTCTGTCAGTACACCGCATTACCATGCAATAATAACAAGTAATTCTTCAACTACACGTTCTTGTTTTTGTTTGCATGATATTAGTTTACCAAAATAAATCCTGTCACTCCTTAAGGAACCCACTGCAAATAAAATTAGTTTACCAAATTATGCTTCAATATGTGCTTGTGGTTCATATGCTTAAAATATGCCATAGTGAGATAGAAATGTTTCTGGTTAAAGGATGTAGTTGTGGCCTCTCTTAAAGATTACCTCAATATTCAAATTATGATTATACGGCCACATCAACAACCAAGAGGTAGGAAGTTTTATTCTCCCTAAACAATGTCTACTAGTTTTTCAATTAATACAAGGATTGGCTAACTTTCGTTTAAAGTATATAATATTTTTATATACTGCAAATACACTTACAAGCCGTCCTCATCATTGTTGAGGTTTGAACCCCTGACCTCCTAGGAGCCTGAGGTAACCCAGATACTGCAAGGCCAAAGGCCCTTTGATAGGATTGACTAACTTGTATAAATAGTTGTTGACATGCCTCAAATTACTGGTAGTATGACCCTGTGGTTGTCATCAGGCCATCACATGTCAATATAACCCTCATGCTTTTCAATAAACGTCTAGTACTTAACATAATCAAGTAGGTCACTGGCCACTCTTCCTATCGAGGCTGATTTCATATATTTTTTTTATTAACCTGGATATCCAACCCGCTATGCGAGCCGACTAATCCCAGGGCGACCACCTGCTTTGCACGTAGCTCGGAGTCACCGCATTTGAACCTCCGTAGCCACAAGGGGATTTTTGTTCCTCCTTGGATTTGAACCTGGGACCTCCTGGCATTTTTGACCTTCGGAGCCAAGCTGATTTCAGATAATTATTGTTCACTATMATGTGTTGCAAACATAAAAATACACATTAAAACAATGAAAACCATACTTGTTGGCAAATGTTTCCAAGCAACCTCTTGTAAACCWGAATTTACCAAAATCAGAATATATTTGACTACTTTATCAGCTATGATGAGACTGCAAGATGCTTGTATCATTTGATAATCAGGTTTTAAGATTAAAATGTTCACAAAATGGATCAGTATCGCCATGGATCAGACCCAAATGTGGTCTTAATTACAATTACCACAAAGAAGAATAGGAAGCAAGAAGCACTCACATCTACGATGAGCGTAAGTTGCTCCTCATCCTTTAAGAGATTAGGCAAGGGAGGTTCTCTATATGCCTGCCACATGGACAATTTTAGCAATTGAATTAGATAAGAACAGTAMAACACTGTAAATTGTATGGGTGTAACCATATACCAGTTACTAGACCCATTGTTTGGTAGAGTTGCATAAAGTGACAAGTGGCAATTTAAAACTTGATGCACTTTGATGTAAAAGAATAATATTACTCGTTTTATCCTGCCATATGAGAAAGCCTGAACTACTTACAGGAGATTCATCAGCTGAATCGTCACTGTGCCACTCTGCTCCAGTAGCCAATGCTGCAGCTCGTTTTTCTTCTCTTTCCTTTTCTTTTTTCTGAAGTAACCTCTTTGCTCGAGCAGCTTTGGATCTGTTGAACATTAAAAGAATGAAATAATTCTGAGTATACCCAACTTTTCAGTTGCAAGATCGAGTGCAAATGTGTTGAAGATGCGATGTTCAAAAATTGGAGATGGTCTAATTGATCAGTTATCCAAAGGTGTTTCCATATCTCAATATATCCATACTATTCTCTTCTAACAGAAACTTAAATCCATAGACACTCCCTCATTTGAATAATGAAAATTTAAGCTGAAGAGAGAAGCTAGTGGATCTAGGTCAAAATAAGAAACTGGTGGTAGCCCAACTGTTTTGTTAATTACAAGATAGATCATAGAAGAGAGCACTGCCATAGCAAGTCCTGTTTAACAGCCTCCAGGAAAAAAATATAGAAAGCAGCATGGGTAACTGTTATGTGTTTTGCATGCAGCAGATAGCATATTGCATTCACCAGAACATTGTTCATGTCCTAAATCAAAATCTAAAAAATATAGCAAACGGGCAAACACTTACAGATCTGAAGATGAAGCAATAGGACGGAATCCTTGGAATACATTGTCAGTTTGATGGTCATCTAGTACTTGAACTCTTTTATAAAGCACGCTTCTCGGTAGCCTTTTCTTTGGTCTAACCTGATGAACCAACTCTTCATCAAAATTTATGAAATATGCATCTTTTAAGTAGAATTAAATAATACATGCACATATTTTTATGATAGAATACTTGGATATATCTATAAAGAGACAAGAAGCAATCACAAATTTGAACATTTTCTGGAAAGTAACTGCTATCATTGTTTCCCAAGATGCATGTGATTGCATTCTTCATACATTATTCCTGTCATAAYTCTTGATCCAAAATCCCAAAGRAGTTTCTGAATAGAACTTTTTGGTGGACTAATATAGYAGTAGGACTTCCTTTCACTATGCAATCAAAATGCACCATTTGCACATGCTCGGTAGACTAAAACAGGTTATAGTAGCCATTTATTTAAATATTGCTTACAATTCCAGTTAAATATAATACCACTTGGCTAGAAAAGTTGGTAACACCCCCAAAATGTTGATAACGTATAATAATAGTTATARTAAATTAATATTATAATAATGATACAAAGGAATCCATTATTTTGTAACGCATTACCATTCTTTATCTCTAAAAACCACAACACTTTATAAAGTAAGCATAAATACAAATATGGAAAAATTGCGACTAAAAGCCAAGTATTATTAGATTCCTGAAAACCAAGTGCAAATCACCTTTCGCTGAATAGTTTCAAGAAACAGCGATTCACGAACCAATGGAAATATCGCCTCAACAAAGCCCTCAGTCAACCCTTTGGATTTATAAATGGAAGAGAGCTTTAACTTTATTTTTTTATCAGTCCACCACTCTTTCTCCCTATCAGAGGTTTGTMCAACTCTTGATTCTGGAAATGTAAAGTAAACAATGAGATAAGAAYAAATTGACCRGTTCTGTGAGTAACAATTCCCCARCACAAAATCCAGTAAACCTGAATCAGGAGGAKAAAGTACAGAAATAGCTTCATCTTCTTTATCTTCTTCTAAGAGAAGTGACACTAGATCCAACCTAGCATCAATGTTCCCCTCATGTTCATGTAAGGCTGTCAAGAAAATATAATGGA